GTATTCATTCAAGCAAGAAATGCTTAGTGAATCTGGAAAAAAAATTCAGGTCCAGAAGCAAGGCTACCTGGATCCATTATAAGCAACAAACTGTCCCCAGGAGAGAGGAGGTTTTACAATAAGGTTGGAAACTGAGAGGTAAAAGCAAAGTTGAGAAACCCAAGGAAAGATTGGGCTCAGAGGAGGACTTATAAGTGTAAAGATTGGGAACCTGTTCAGGGGGAAAAAAAGAAAGATATACAAAGAAAAAGACCTAGTCAGTCTTCCAGGGTTGAAGACTGTTAGAAAGGGTAAACCACGGCAACAACAGTAAGTATGCCAGTCCAGGGAAAAGATAGCACTTCTAGGAGGTATCGCCCAGTGGAAATTTCCTGGGCCTTTGGAATCTGACAGCCTTGGAATTGAAATCACCACTCTGTCACCTAAAACTGGGGAAAAATAATTTAAGCTCTCTGGTCTTGAATCCCAAGGATAATAATACATATCTACATCTCAGTGGACAGTAAAGTATTACTCCATATAAGGTAATGGGCACAGACTGACACCCAAGACACATGACCTAAGTGTTTGTCCCTTGTCATGTCCATGTCCACGGTACAGGCATGTCCAGAATCCCAGGAACGGCTGCCCCTGCCTAGAAACACTGACTCCACCCAAATTGACAAAGACCCTTTTACCTCCACTTGGCTGTCCCAGTCTAGAGATTCATTCACAACAACACCAGGAAAATCGGGCCAGACCTATGGAGAGAAACACGCTAAGTAGCCTTGCACGAGACAGTTTCCCCTACATAGGATTTCCGAAGCAATTGTTGTATAAACCATGTCCTAGGAGCGATGATACTTCGACTATCATGTAGGATTGACATAAAGAAAAGTGAATTCCATAACATGTTACATTACTTTAAAACTCATTAATTGTATCAACAAATATTGTTTACGAAAAGGAGAGCTTCAGACTTTGGGCCAAAATAGAAAATGCCAAAGATAACATACACAGGCGTGTGACCCTCTAACCGTGACCCACACTCAGCCTAGGGACTAGTGGATCATCCCTTAGGATTATACCTTTCCCCAGACAATGTCTCCATCATTTGGGTATTTGATGAAGATGTCATCCTCCAAGCCCCGAGTGAAGGCAGGATAGGGCTGTGTCTCATTGCCAGAAATAGCTGGATCCTGAAATCAAAGCATAAGTCAGTTGGGAAAACCAAAGCCAGAGAATGAGGAGAAACAGAATAAAGGAAAACTCCTCCAGGGTGAACTCGCTGGCTTCCACCTGAACTGTAGACTATCTGTGAGTCCTGGGAAATACAGAATTCTTACTGCACTTCAATTTATCTACTTGCAACATGGAAATAAAGTATAACTCTTTCTCCACCAAAGCCCATACCTGCTCCCAAAC